GGAAGTGGCGCTGTGGCTCAAGTGGTAGAGCGCTAGCCTTGAGCTGAAGAACTGAGGGACAGCTCCCAGGCCCAGAGTTCAGGCCTCACGACTGGACCCCCCCCCCAAAAAAAGGAAAAAATAAATAAATAAAAGTTCTAGCCTTGAGCAAAATAAGCTAAGGGATAGCACCTAGGCCCTAAATTTAAGCCCCAGGATTGGGGGAAAAAACATAAATATTTTTACAAGGCCTTTGGTTCTGTCCCTAGTATTGCCAAAACAAATTTGCCCAGAAGAGCAGGAGAGTAACAGTCACTCCCAAAGGTGGCAGGATGATAGAGGACTGCAACTTTCCTTTCCATTTATCTCTATAGTCTGAGCTGGGGACACAGCTCAGTAAAAGAATGATTGCTTTAGTACACAGGAAGCCCTCATCCCTAGAACAACAAAAAGCCTGCCTGATAAACTTCTGTAGTCTATCTCCTGCATAGACAGTATGTGTCACTAATGAAAAATGGCAAGAACCAAAGCTTTCTTTACAAAGAAAGATGTCACTCCATAGCTCTGGCCTCCCCGCCATGCCCACCGCCCCTTGGTGACCTGGCCTATTGTCCCCGGTGCTGTGACCTTGTCTCTTGTCTACCAAGTCCCCTCCCATCCCTGGGACCCTGCTTGCATCTCACCGAGCAGGCCCCAGTCTCTGGGTGGCAGAGGTCTGAGTGGCCGTTGCATTCACACAGCTCACAGTGGCCAAGGTAGAGCCCACTTCCGGTGCGCGTGTAGCCGGGGGCACAGTCCTGGGGGGACAGAAGACGGTTGCATCCCACCCAGAGCCAGCAGACTCAGCCTCTTCTCTGTCCTGTTCTCTCCAGTGTCTAGCACTCCACATTGCTTCCTGGAGGGGACAGGCTGGGCCCCTCCTCTGCTCTGCAATTCCTTGCCACATCTCTGTGCCCCATCTTTCATCTTTGCTCTGGCTGTGTCTATGCCTCCCTGCAGCCTGAGCACAGGGAAACAACAACCCATCTTCAATGCAGATTCCTTTCTCCCCAGCCCAGGCTTTTGTTCCTGAAGGTTCTGGTGGGAGACGTATATAGAAAGAAACTTTATACCTAATGGAAAGTGGTCTGGGAAGGGGAGATGGATATGGGGAAGATCGTCCTGTGTGTGCTCATTCACCAGCCAGAAGCAGTGCATAGCACCGAGGGGTTCCAAGCCTGGAGATGAGCGGTCTCTCCCCGACACTACTGGGGGCCTTCCCTCCCTCTTCTTTAAAGAGAAGCTATGAGTCTCCTCTGCTTGGCTGCAGAAATGTACACCCAGACTGTGCTTCCTCCAGTGTCCCTCCTGAAACCTCAAGGAACATAAAATTCTGAATTTGGATTTGAAAATTCTGTGTCAACCAAAAAAGGTGCACAGGTGCAAAACACTCCAGGAGCCTGGTCAGGCGCTCACACCTGGTCAGGCGCTCACACCTGGTCAGGCGCTCACACCTGGCCTCTCTGATGCCCACCTGGCCCTGCAGGCGTCCCCCTGCCTGCAGCTTGACAGTCACTGTCTAGATGTTAGCTGAGCACCTATTATGTGCCCTCCTAGAGCTTGTAGCTCTGGTCGCCTTTATCAAAGGCCATTCAAATGACCGCTTTTTTGTCCCACCCATTGCCCTCATTCTGCAGATGGCTCCTCAGCTCCATCTCTCTCTCACTGCCCTGCCACCACACCAACAGCCAGCTGACAAGTTTTCCTGGTCAGCTCTGATCAAGGTACTCCCTTAGCAGCCTGGTCTTCCCTGCTCCAGGCCTTTTAAAGCAGGGCCCTCGCTGGCTTTCCAAGGGTAGGTAACTGTTGCATGCAGATCCCCTGTGAGCATGCCCCTGTGTGGCTTGGGCTTGAGTCCCCTGTGTTTGTGTGGGTCTCCCTGCCTCTGTGGCCAGCCCAAAGATGCAAGCATCTGGGAGAGGGAGGGACACTTCCAATAGTTCGGACACACTGGAGTGCAGCAGACCTAGGTTCCTATTCATTTCTACCTCTTGGCCGTGTGTTCTCAGTTACACCACTGATGACATCTCTCCTACTGGAGGGAGGGGATAACTCTGGCTACTCAGGGCTATTGGGGGAGTGACTGTCATGACATGGAGCTGGCATGGGGTACAGGAGTCACTGAGCTCTGACAGTAATCACAGGTGGTGGCAATGCCTGCCAGTCAGGTTGCTGACATCGCTGTATTTGAATAGAGGTGACCAGCTGGCCACACACTCACCTGGCAGGACAAGCCGATGTAGCCTGGGGGACAACGACACTCCTCCACCTCAAGAGCCCGAGGCCCATGGGAGGGCCCCGGCCTGGCGACCTCCAGGCTGACGGAGCTGATACTGGCAGTCCTCGGCACCGAAGAGAAGGTGGCCCGGATCAGAAGCTCATCCAGGTCGGCCAGTGCCATGAGCAAGTGTTCACGGGTGGCCGGCTGCCCATCTGGTCGGTGCCAGAATTCCTGGGTGGGGAGATGTCAAGCATGGGTGGGGGCCACTGTGCTTGGCAGGTTACCTCGAGCCTCTCTCCCACCCCTCTGTTTTCCAGCATCAACTGAGGCTGTGAGGGGAGGATGGGAAGGGAGGCCCCAAATCAGGCTGGGGCAGGCAGGAGACCCTGGCGACCCATGTCCTCACCTCTCGGAAGATGATCTCGTAGCTCCTCCTCTCGGGGCCCTGCGGGGCAGGCTGGGAGGCCACCAGCATGATGTTGTTGCCCTAGGGGGACACAGGTAGGGTTCAGAGGGGAGCTGAGGGGTTCTTGGGATAGCAAGGGGTCTCCACTAGTCCCAGATTCTCTGAACCACTTGGCCTCCCATCTCTCTGTTCTCCCAAGCTCCTGTAACTCCCAGCACCAGGCCATTCCCTCCTCCCCACCACCCACCGGCTGGGTCACAGCTTGGATAGTGTCCAGCCAGGCAGTGCAAAGCCTGTGTCAGGCCAGCTGTGCTGGACTAAGGAGACAGACACTGTGAAGGCTCAGGGCCTCCTCAGTCTTCCTCTAGGCTGGCCACCATGATATCTGAGGGCTCACCGTGATCTGGATGTCAGGGTCGGAGACGGGGCTGCCCTGTGGCCCTGCAGAGTAGGAGAGAGTGTATCGAAGCTTCCCGCCATAAGCCGCCACCTGCAGGGAGACAAGTGTCTGGTCACAGGCTGGCTGGCCCTCTCTGGGACCACTTAGGTGAGGGGTGCAGCCTCTCCAGGCCTGGTGGGACCTGTTTCAGTTCCTCCTCCAGGAGACCAGGGCCCAGGCCAGTGATTGTCATGAAAACAGGCCATCACTAGTCCCATCCACTTTCATGCATGTGTGTGAGGGTGGGGGTGGTGGTGATAGGGTGAGGGGTGGGAGGAAGTGACCTCTTATTGGCTTTGTGTGGTTCTCCACCCTCCATTGCCTCATGGTCCCAGCTGACAAGCTCCAAGTTCCTTTCATATACAGAGAATTCCATAAAGCAGGCAAGGGGAATGACAGGGGCTACCACAGGGAGGCCACAATGGCCATCAGAAGCTTTGCTTCCTGGGTGAGGGGCTTTTCTCTCCCCAGAATCCATTTCCCTCATTGCAAATACCACCCCAGTTCTCTTTAAAGAATGACTCTTGCCCTCTATGCAGGTCACGTGACTCTAGGGTTCTCCCCTCCTCCACAGTGGAGAACAAGCTGGGTCTGGCCAGTGTGCCTAGTGCCAAATCAGGGTGGAGGACAGGGTAGGGCTGTACCTAGTGCAGCCAACTGCCCCTTCCCTTATCAGGCAAGACTGGCAAACCTAGCCCTTTTCTTTCTACTGGGACAGAGACACTTCTCTAGTCAAGTTAGAGAACTGACGTCAACTGAGATAAAGCCCAAATGAGCCCCTGGATAGAGATGACCTTGAACTCTGGTTGCATGAACCAGAGATTCATGCAGATTCTTTACTGCAGACAATCAAGGTAGGCTTGGGTTTTCATGGGCACAACTGCAAGTGTCTGTGTGCTTGCAGTAGAGAACTTTTGTTTGGACAGCTAAGGTCCCCAGCTCTGGCTAACTGCACAGTCTTTTTTCCTCAGGTACCAGGGCAGACCAGCCAGCTCAATACCAGCTGCCGCAGGCCTTACCACCCAGGTCCACGTGTGTGTTCGTTCAATTGGCGAGCATTTATCAAACACCTGCTGACCACTTGCCACACGCTGGGTTGCCCAGGCAGGGCTGGGGGCTGCTTTCCATAGCCAGCTCAGGGTGTGGTAAGCAAGTGAGGGAGAAACGAAATAGCAATGGAAACAAGCAGTTTCCTGTTTGTTCTGGGTGCCAGCAGGTTCAAAGCCATGTCTGTCCAGGCCAGCTTTCTAGGAAATTACATGCATAATAATTAAGGAAAGGGAGGGGCTCTGCGGTCCAAAAGACCTGGGCTCAAGTTCCAGCTCCACCGCTGTGTATCCTTGCACAAGATACCCTCTCTGAGCCCTCCTTCCCTCACATGGAAAGAGTAGTAAAAGCAACACTTTGAAGAGCTTCACTACACTTATATAACCCGGGACACACATACACTGAAAGCGTGGTGCCCAGAATGGACAGCAAGGCTTGACACCTGCCTACGCCTCTGAGTCTGTCCTTGGCTTCGGCAGAGTCTCTCCTTAGCTCGCTTCCTCACCCTGTCTAGTCTGTGTTTCTGAATGCTGACTGACTTCCACATAGTACGTACACTCTGAAAAGGCTGTCCACATTGTTCAGAGAACACAGTGGAAGCAATATGAACACAAATATTAACACCAGTGATGACAATTACAATGTGCTCATGAGACTAATTGAGTGTTCTGGCAGGTCAGGGCCCATGTGTGTGAGGGCATACAACAAGTACTTAATGCTCCAGAAATGAATGCATACAGTAACTAACACAGGGCCAGGGGCTGTCTTGCCTCTGACATTTTAGGATTCTCTGCCCTACCCCCCACGCCTCCCCCAGCTCCTTGTTACCTTGTTCCCCAGGAAGGCCCGGGGCAGCTGCCAGTAATAGAGGCTTCCAGGAAGCAGAGAGAAACCCCCGTAGGAGAGTAAGAACTAGGACAGAAGGCAGGTGGTGAGCTGGGGACAGGTGGGGCCCAGGGGACAGAGGGCCTAGACCTGCAGGGAGGCCCAGGGGACACACAGGCACACCATCCCCTCTCCTGCCCAACAGCCGGGTCCCACACTGCTGACTGGGCATCTCAGTTGCCCCCTCTGGGTTGGGTCTGGATCACTATCTCTCTCAGTCGGGTGTGTCCCTCTCATGGACTCCAGGAGTAATGTGGCACACTGGGAAACATCTAAAAATTTAGTAGTTCTTTTTGTGTGTATTAAAAACATGATGGATGGCAGGCACCAGTGGCTCATGCCTGTAATCCTAATTACTCAGGAGGCTGAGATCTGAAGATCATAGTTCAAAGCCAGCCCAGGCAAGAAAACCCATGAGTTCCTATCTCCAATCACCAAAAAGATGGAAGTGGAGCTGTGGCTCAAGTGGAATGCTATCCTTGAGCACAAAAGCTCAGGACAGCATCTAGGTCCTGGGGTTCAAGCCCCAGGATCAGCACTAAAAAGAACAGAGATGGAGCCAAACATTGGTGGCTCCCATCTTAATTCCAGCTACACAGGAGGCTGAGATCTGAGGATCATGGATTAAAGCAAGCTTTGGGCAGAAAAATCCATGAGATGCTTATCTATAATTAACTAGTTAGTACAAGGACAGAAATGGAAGAGACAGAGTACCAGCTGTGAATGAAAAACAAGCTGTGAATTCAAACCAGCTCCAGGATTGGCACACACACAAAAAAAGGGGCATGGTACAAGTTGTGGAGTGCCTGCTTAGCAAACATGAGGCCCTGAGTTCAAATCTAAATACTGCTGGAAAAAAAGAATCTAAGCACAAGAGGCTCATACCTGTAATCCTAGCTACTTAGAAAAAACAAGGATTTCAGTTCACCAGGAACCCAGGCCAAAAGTTCCCAAGACTTTATTTCAGCCAAAAAATAAAAGCATGGGGCTCGGAAGGTGGCTCAGCTGTAGAGTGATTGCCTTGCATGCATGAGGCCCTGGGTTCGATTCCTCAGCACCACATAAGCAGAAAAAGCTGGAAGTGGTGCTGGGGCTCAAGTGGTAGAGGGCTAGCCTTGAGCTGAAGAGCTGAGGGACCGTGTCCAGGCCCAGAGGTCAGCCCCCACAACCAAAAAAAAAAAAGCACGATACAGTGATATATATATGTGGGGGAAGCTTAAATAAGAGTATTGTGGTCCAGGCCAGTGGAGGCCATAGGAGAGCAAGACCCCATTTTAAAAATAAGACTGAAGGCCTAGCTCAAGTAGAGGGCCTGCCTGGGAAGCACAAGGCCCTGAATTCAAATCCCAGTACTGGGAAAAAGGAAAAAGTACAACTACTTAACCAAGCATGGTAGCATATGCTTGTAATTCCTGAGACAGGAAGATCTTGAGTTCAAAGTCAGCCTGGGCTACATAGTGACCTTGTCTAAAAAAGAAAAGAAAAAGAAAAGCTGGACATGGTGGCTCACACACCTGTAATTCCAGCTACTTAGGAGGTGGAGATATGAAGGATTTTCTTTCAAGCTTAGCCTGGGCAAAAAAGTTTACATCTCAGTTAACATCCATCTCAGTCAATAAGCTGGTGTGGTGGCACATGTTTGTCATCACAGCTGCACATGAGGTAGGGACAGGAAGATTGTAGTCACAGACTAGTTCCAGGCAAAAATGAGACCCTAACCTGAAAAATAAAGTGGATGAGTAACTGTCTAACAATAGCAAGGCCCTAAGTTCAAACCTCCATCAAAAATATAAATAAATGAAAGTGGGCTGGGTATGTGGCTTAGTGATAGAGTGCTTGCCTAGTATACTTGAAGCCCTGGGTTTGACTCCTCAGTACCACATACACAAAGGCTGGAAATGGTGCTGTGGTTCAAATGGTAAAGTGCTAGCCTTGAGCAAAAGCAGCCCAGAGACAGTGCCCAGGGCTGAGTTCAAGTCCCAGGACTGGCCCCCCCAAAAAGTTGTAACTATAATTGAGTCAATATATGATGAATTATGAATTTAACAGGACATTTGAAATCAATAACAGCCCTGGTAGTGCCAGAAATTACAACTGAAATGTGAAAAGCATGGGGGGTGGGGGTCCTTTGAGAGGGACCCTTTGCCACATACCTGAGAACTTACTGGGGAAGTCACAGAGTGGGAGGGGGAGGAGGAGGAGGAGGAGGAGGAGAAGGAGGAAGGATCTGCTCGCAGAGCAGCTGCAGGCTGGGGGTAAGGAAGATCTCTCTGGGGAGGGGGCTGAGGTTGGGCAGCAAAGCTGGCAAGAAGCTGCCAGATTTCAGCATCCATCCGCCTCTGGGCCTCATCCACCTGGGGGACCAAGGAAAGGAGAGAGAGAGAAAGAGAGAGAGACAGAGACAAAGAGAGACAGAGACAGACAGACAGACACATACACACAGAAGGATGCCTATGAGACTGTGCCCCAAGCTGCCCCAAGCCTAGCCAATTGCTGTTCTGTGCCACCCATGCAGTCATGCTCTGTATTCTCTGCACTCTTGCTTCTAGGAGCCCAAGGGGTACCCTGGGAACGCAGAGACAGAGCAGATAGTTCTGGGAGCCAAGGCCAGCAGTGCTGGAGGCAGCCCAGGACTGTGTGGGAGGCGCATAGGGAGGGGGCCTGACTTCACATGGCTCATGGCACAGCCAAGTGCTCATGGACTGGGTCAGACTAAGTCTGGACCAGCATGCAGGAAATGGCCTAGGCGGACTAGGGTCTTGGTTAAAGCTTGCTCTTTAGAGCCCTGGAGACAAGCTGCCCTGTCATGCCTTGAGTTACCTGAGATGCCCGCTGTGCCCGGCCCCTGCCCTCTGGGAGCCCCAGGATCCTCCCAGTGGTCACAGCTGCACGCCATTGCTCCTCTGAGAGGGATGTGCGGTTCTGATGGGGTGGAGGTCACAGAACTTAGCACTCCCACGACCCAGAGCATAGGCATGAATCTCTCCCCAAGGACATGGTAGCAGAGAGGCCACACTGATGAGGGAGGGAGGCATGTACCCCCTTGCTGGGGGGCACAAGCAGGCAGACAGGGGGCTTATCACCTGGTAGGCAGTACTGGGTGAAACTCAGGGGCCAAGCAGTCATGCAAATTAGCATTGAGTTGCTTTCCCGGTCACTGTCCTACCTCTCATAGCTTGTACCACCAGGACCAGACTACAGAGCTGGGGAGGCTCAGAGCCATGCACCCTTGCCAGTCCCCAACTTGGCAGCAGTGCAGGGCCAAGTGCCAACTCCCTGATCAGCAGATCTACTGTCTGAATTCATGCAGCCTTGCCTTGTCTTGGGCAAAAGCCTCTCCCCCACAGAGCTGAGGGCACCCGGGAACACACCATGCCATTGCACACTGCTCGGCAAGGGCCTACCTGGTGGGCCCGGCGCATCCGTGTGAAATATGCCTCCCTCTGCGGGGCATGGGAAGCACCAGGAGGGAGACAGAGAAAGGTCTAAGAGCCACAGCAGGCAGCACAGTCAGGGGAGGGGTTGGGGGAGAAGAAGAGGGGAGCAGAAGACAGCCAGCCCTGCAAGAAGGCTGGGTACCGGGATCTGTCCAAGGAGCAGCTTCAGAGTCCCTCAAGTGCCCTTGGGGTGCATCTGATTTAGCAATGGCCTCCTCAGCCAGCAGGGGATAATTAGGCCAAGCCCCAATTCTCCCAGGTACCACCAGGTGGCCACGAGTGCTCAAGGAACACAGGTGGGCAGGCTGTCCTGGAAATCTATCTATCCCTGTGGCCCTGTGCCTCCACAATACCACCCCCACCCCACCCCCTTCCCTCCAAAGCTTGTTTCACAGTAGAAAAGACGTACTCAGCAAGGACCAGCAGACTCTGCATGTTAAGGACAGCCTGAGACCTGAGGGTGAGTCCTATTAATGCCACCTACCAGCTGTGGGACTCTATGTATGTTTCCCTAACCTCTCTCCTTGGTTTCCTCTGTTATGAAGTAGGGCAGTGGTAGAATCTGACCTGTGACAGACAGGTGGAAGTGCTTGGAACAATGCCAAGCACGCAGTGTGAGCTCAGTAAATGTGACCTCAGTGACAATTACCGCACCTGGCACGGGCATGGGGCCTGCAGTGGACACAAGTGAGTTTGGAGGAAGCAGATGAATGAAACTGGAGCTGCCTAGTCAAAAGCTTGTGTTTCAAAAACATGCTAGTTGACAACTGCTTCAACGCTCGCTCGCTTGCTCCCTCCTATGGTCATTAACAGACATGTACTCAGCACATGCCAGGTGCCATGTTTAATTTCCCCAGGCACTGTCAGGTCCAACTGAGAGCAGAGCTAACATGCAGGTCCAAGTCTACAGACCCCCCAAACGTCACATGATATAACAGTCACATGGCAGCCGGTGAACTTGTGTCAGAATACCCACCAACCCTGGTGCTTGCCCGGGGCCTGGCTCAGAGTTGGCATTAGGGATGTCTTGGTGACCCCTATGTGCACCCCACCTTGTCTCCTTGGTACAGCTCTGGCAGCTGCCAGTAGAAGGATCCATGGCCGAGGTTGGCAAAGTTGCCAAAGGAGAGCTGGGCCCCGTCCGGCAGAGGTTCCACGGTAAAGCCTCCGGTCAGGCGGCTGTTGCGCTGGGGGTTCACCAGGGCAAAGCCTTGGAAGTCCCCAGGGGCAAAGCGGGTGGAAATCTGGCAGCAGAAGATGAGATGTCAGTTTAGGCACTGGGGTGGGCACCTTGGCGAGGATGGGTCATGGGAGGGCATCAAGACACGAAGGGGGGATTGCAGAGTTTTGGCTGGGAGAGAAAGAATGGATGAGTAGGGTGGACATCCAGCAGAGGATGATAACGGTGCTGCGCTCAGCAATATGAGACTTGACGAGGGTCTCAGGGTCAGTGGGCTCAGTGTTGAGATGGGCAGTGGTGGGCATGGCAATGGGTATCCTCATGGACAACTGGGACCTAGCTGGAGCCAGGCTCCAGGCCCACCGTGGCCAGGCTCTTACCAGATGGCGTGTGTAGGAGGAGCTGGCGCACTGCTGGGTGACGCCCATGCAGAAGCAAGGCAGGCAGCCGTCGGGGTTGCTAGCACTCAGGTAGAAGTGGTGAGGCCGGCACTGGCTGCAGGTGAGTCCTTCCACCTGGGCCTGGGGTGGGTCAATGGAAAGATGTGTGTAGGGGAGAGGGGGAGGATTTGGGAGTCTCCTGCACCCCAGAAGCCCAAGGAAGGCCAGCTTTCTCAACCATTTGAGACAATTCCGGACAGCTTAGCCCATTGCTCATACCCAGCCCCCAGCCACCTGCAAGTACCGCCTGGCTTCTGTCCAGGCCTGGCAGTGGGCAGCACCAGACCTTTCAGAGGGCAGAGCTTTGGACTGACCTTGCATTGGCACTGGCCAGCGGCGTCACATTGGCTGCTGATACTGCCCTGGGGGTTACAGTCACAGCCTGTTACTTCTGGTATCTGGCCGTCTCCTGACATGGAGGAAAGTCACAGCTAGAACCCACAAACTTACCACTGCCCTTTGAGCATGCCACTTAGCATTGAGAGGATGCTGCTGTTCATTGTGAGATGTGGGTGTGGTCTTCTCCCACCTCACAGGACAGAGGGAGAAGCAGAAGCTCAAAAGGGTAGAGCCATCTGTGACCCTGACCTCAAGTTCCACCACAACCCCTGCACCCTCCCCACCTCTAAACCCTACTCACTCCGACAGGGCTGGCCCTGGCTGGGGTTGCCATAGTAACCCTGGGTACATCTGTAAAGAGAGAAAGCAGAATCTTAGGAGATGACAGTGAGCCCAGGCCTATAGGGGGTCATGTGTTGACTCCTATAATGGGGATAAAACCAGCTTGCCTAGCTCACTCATTTTAAGATAGGGAGACAGAAGACAGAATGGGAAGGGGCTGACCACATAGCCAGTGTGTTGGCTTCACTGGCAGGAGGGGGGGGTCTTATAGGAGGAGGCAGGCCTGGCCTAGGCAGTCACGGGGGCTGGGCTGGGCTGGTTAGCATGTCTGAGGGGTTCAAATGCCATCTCTTCTTATCAGCAGCCTTCAAGGGCCCATGCAAGAAAGAGCAGGAGGCCCCTGGACAGTCAGGTCAGATGTCTGGGGGGGGAGGGGGACACTCCAGCCCTTCCCCTGTGTCCCACCCTCCCACCACCTGACTCACCTCTCACAGTGACGCCCGCTGTGGCCTGGGGAGCACGAGTCACAGGTGGGGTGGCTGTCCGTGTCCAGAAAGCAAGTGTGGGAGACTCTGAGAGGGTGGGGCAAGGTCCAGTCAGTAAGGCTGGGACCCTGTCTCTTGGCCCTTCCCTCAGACCAGGGGAGGAGAGTGGGCTGATAGGGGCCTGTGGAGAGCTCCACCGGCATTAGCTCACAGCGCTCACACAAGGGCTAAGGCAGTGAACCGTCCCCACTGCACACACAAGGCCCCTGAGGTTGTGAGAGAGGTGTGGTGCTTCGTCTACCAAGTGACCCACTGAGGCACAGCAAACCAGGTTTAATCATTGCCTCTCGACAGGGCAGGAAGGGGAGATATGGGGGCAGACAGTGGACATCTCAGGAAAGGGCAGGGTCTGAACGCACTGGCCAGCAGAGGGAGGTCCGTGGCAGGGGCAGGGCTGGCAGTCATGTGGTGTCCCTCGCTGAGCATCCCCATAGTATCCCTGCTGGCACTGATCGCACCGTGGGCCCTCGGTGTGATGCTGGCAGCCCTGGAGGAACAGAGGGTAGCTGAGGCTGGGCCTGAAGGCCATGGGTCTCTGGGGTGGGGAGGAAGGAGAGAGACTTACCTGGCAGGTACCAGTCTCAGGTTCACAGACCTCTGAGTGGCCATGGCAGCTGCAGCGCTCACAGGTGCCCAAGTAGAGGCCACTGGGCATGCGTGTGTAGCCTGTGTCACAGTCCTGAGGGAAGGAAGATGGCAGAGGGCACTGGGTTAGGAGTGCTGGGGAGGTGGGGAGCCAAAGGAGGAGAAGCTGGGAGTACCATGAAGGGATCTGGCTGGGCAGGTGGGTGAATGGGTGGGGTGGTGAGCGGCCCAGGACTCACCTGGCAGGATGGGCCACGGTACCCAGATGGGCAGGTGCACTGCTCCACTTCCAGAGCGGGGTCTTGACCAGTGTTCTCAGGCACAGCCACATCCATGCTAATGTCAGAGACCCTACGTATGGCAAGACACACTGTGAATGAGTACGCTCTGTGCCAGGCTGCCAGAGTCCTGGATCCATCTCCCACTAGTCCTCCTGCCAACCCTGGCATCCTGCCGTGGAGCCTGTCCAGGTCTGTGGATGGGGCCTCTGGCCCACAGCAGCTGCAGGGGCTATAGCTAACAGCTCACATGTGTACTTTCTCCAAAGAGAAACAGGTTACACCTGCTCCGTGGGGTGGTCCATCACAGGCTAAGATTGGTCCAAAATCAGTTAGAAGGCCAGTTACTCCCAGAGCTCTCCATGGGCTGGGGTTGAGGTCAGGCTTGACCTTGGGGTCATGTTCTTGCTTGATACCTCCCTTTCTTGCATCCTTCTCATCCTAATCTTTTTGCATGTGTATGTGTATGTGCACACACACAAGTGCACCTGCCAAGGCTTGAACTCAGGGCTAGAGTACTCTTATTTTTTTCTTTTTTTTTTTTTTATAAGTCACTTGGACTCAGGGCCTGATTGCTGTCCCTGAGCTCTTTCTTTTGCTCAAGGCTAGCACTCTACCACTTGAGCCACAGCTCTAATTGAGGTTTTCTGGTGGTTATTTGGAGATAAGATTCTTACAGGGACTTTTCTGCCTGGGCTCGCTATGAATCAAAGATTCTCAGATCTCAGTCAGCATCCCGTAGCTAGGATTACAGGTGTGAGCCACCAGTGACTGGCATTGCTCTTGATTGCTTTTTTAGGAGCCTATTCTAAGACCATACTAGCTAAGTATGGCTGATCACACACAACCAGTAAGTGGCAGAGCTGAATGCTTTACAGTGCTTTGCCAGGGCCCGCTGCCCAAGCCCCTCTGTCCTGCCCAGGCCCCAGGCACCTGCTCTCAGCGGGCTGCTGGGTATAAGATGCTTGGATCAGAAGGGCATCAATTCCCGCCAGTGCCATCAGCAGGTGCTCCCGTGTGGCTGGCTGTCCATCAGGTCGCTGCCATGCTTGCTGCCAAGGAAAAGACACGTGTGTCCAACTCTTGCCACCTTGGGTGCTGATGCATAGACAGTATCAGTGGCCATCTTCACCCATGCCTAGGAAGGGCCACTGGGCTGGCCGGTAGCTCACCTCCCGGAAGGGTACAGTGAAGGCACTGGACTGGCCAGGGATGGGCTCCTGTGAGGTGTGGTGCTCCAGGACAATGCCATTACCCTGCAGTACCACCAGCGGCTGCCCATGCAGGGGTGCAGAGCTGGGCCGGGGCCGCTGGGTCACCGTGAAGTGCAGCTCTCCTCCATAGGAGGTCACCTGGGATACAAGGTGGACAGGCATTCAGGGGGGTCTGCAGTTGGGCCTCCTCTTCAACATGGGGTATCTCACTCTTCTCCCAACACCCCTGCTTCCATGCCTTGCCTGTGCTGTTCCCACTGCTCAGAACTGCTTTCCCTTTCCTACCCCTGCCCACCTTGTCTCCCCGGAAGCGTGAAGGGAGGCTCCAGAAGTAAGGTCCAGACAGGAGGCTGTGGAATGAGGAGAAAACCAGCTCCCCAGATGTGGGAGACGAGATGCCTTCGCTGGTGGTGTGGGTGCCGGCAGCATTGGTCAGGCTGAACTGGGTGGGCTCCTCAGAGGCCCCGAGGACCTGAGGGGGGAGAAGGCCAGGATAGACTGGCTCAGGCCCAGCCCTTGGTCCATCCATCCCTGGGCATGGCCATTCCACCAACCCACCACCCTCCTTGAGTGAGTACCTGGGCACGGCTCCAGGAGGAGCTGGTACACTGGCGACTGACACCCATACAGAAGCACTTGAGGCATCCATCGGGGTTCTGGGAGCTCAGGTGGAAAGACCCATCGGCACACTCATTGCACACGCGCCCCACCACGTTGTTCTGCAGGTATAGAGCTGGGAGCTGCAGGATAGCCCGCAGAAGGGCTATCCAATTTAATCTACCCACAGTCTAGATGAGACCCAGCGTGCCAAGGCAAGAGCATATTTGTGAGGTTATCACTACCACCTGATTAATAACTCCCAGTTAATGAGCGCTTATGCCACTGCTCTTTTCCCCTTTTCTCTGTGAAGCCAGGGCTTCACAGATAAGCTGAGATTTAAAATAAAGCAACTTGCCAGGCCATTGGTAGCTCACACCTGTAATCCTGGCTACTCAGGAGGCTGAGATGTGAGGCTTGTGGTTCAAAGTCAGCAGGGAAAGGAAAGTCTGCGAGACTCTTATTTCCAATTAACTATCAGGAAACTGGAAACGGAGCTGTAGCTCAAAGTGATAGAGTACTAGCCTTGAACAGAAAAGCTCACAGACAGCACCCAGGCTCTGAGATCAAGCCCTACAACCAACAAAATAAAATAAAATAAAGCAACTTGATTAAAATAATGACTCCTACAATCTGTGGAGTGTTTCAAGCACTATGCTAGTTTCTCTGTAGTCATCATCTTAGTTATTTCCTTTAAGAACCTAAAGAGGTAGGAGAAGGTTAACTCTATCCTTCTCAGGAGGAAACTGAGGCTCATGAATGTGAAATGACTTGCACAAGGACACTCAGCTTGCTCATTTACTCTGGAATGTAAAATCAGGAGTGCCAGACTCCAAGATCTGCCCTATTCTTTTCTCCACTGAGATGTGATCCTCTCAACTGTTGATTCTAAGTGATTCTAAGCTTTGCTTTCTCATCCATGAGTCAGTCAGTGGTGCTCAGACAGACATCACTGGTCAATGTGAGGCCTGGAAAATCATAACAAAGGCCATGACCTGGTACAGATACATGGCTGGGACTTGAATTCAAGGTACTTGACTCCCTAACCAGAGCCCCTGTTCACTGCCCATTGCTCACTGGCCATGGTGCTAAGAGAAGGTGGAGCCTCCATCCTCCCTGAGCCCATGGTGGTGCTGGAGATCCAGGCCTTGGACGTTTGGTGCAGACGGTGTACATACCTTACAACGACAGGCCTCCCCAGTGGTCCCCATGCTGCCTCTCTCGTCACAGCGCACAATCTCCTGGTCTGGGGCACAAGGTGGGGGTTATAACAGACCAAGGGTGGGGCAATTCTGGAATCCTGAATGGGAGGGGCCTGGCGGGCAGCCAGGAAGTGCCAGGATGGGGCTGAGATACTCACTGACGGGCCTGCACTTCCCGTCCGGCTGGATGGGATTGCCCTCATACCCGGGGGCACAGCTAGGGGAAAAAGAGCATGGTCAGCAACTCTTCCACGCCCCACCCTTCCCAGGCCAGCCTGCTGCCCCCAGCACATGCCAGAATTCCCTCACCTCTCACATCGACGGCCTGTATACCCAGGGGCACAAGCATCACATGTGGCCTGGCCATCTGTGTCCAAGAAGCAAGTGTCGGAGAATCTGTGGGTATTGAGTGGGCAGTGTTGGGGGCCAGGTCTTACCTGTACACCCCTGGAAATAACTGCCATCCACACTGACTCGTACACTAGGTGTGTCGTATCTCCCCACCCACTTGTCCCTGAGCTAGAGTAATCAATCCATTATACAGAAAGGAAAACTGAGGCCCAGAGAGGCCAAGAAGTGTGGGGCAATTTAGTGACCAGGTTGGGAGTGGAATCTGGGTCTCCCACATCCCTCCCAGCCGCTGCTGTGCTGCACACAATGAGCTGGAGCTGACCTGCGGGAGGCATCGATGTACGGGCATGGGCAGGGCCGGCAGGCTGTGGCCGTGGCCTTTGTGGCATCCCCAAAGAAGCCAGCCTTGCACTTGTTGCACTGTGGTCCTTCTGTGTTATGCTGGCAGTTCTAGGAGCAAAGCAGAACAAGGAGCGGCTCAGGTCCCACAGAACAGAACTGGGCCAGACAGGCTCTGGGTGGCCTTTGGGGACATCTGGCTCAGCCTCTCCCATTACTATAGAATATTCCACCGAGTGGCAGCCTACTGATGACTGAGTTTAGCACCTTACAAGGCAGTCCAGCCCACAGACAATTCCTTACCCCCACTTCATGCTAACTCAAACCTACCACCCTCTCCACCCTGCCTCCTGGCACGACTCACCAAGCAGTGGCCATAGACGGGATCACAGGCACTGGCATGGCCATTGCAATTGCAGCCAGAGCAGGTGCCCAGGTAGGGACCACCAGGCACCCGGGTAAAATGGGTATCACAGCTCTCACAGGACAAGCCGGAATAGCCAATGGGACATCTGCAGAAACAGGACCATGAGAGTGGCTGCTTCTCCTGTACCCAGGCCAGACTCCCTGTGGTTCCCACCCTCCTGGGTCAGGTACCTGCACTCCTCCACACTATGGGCATGGCCATGGGTGGTGGTGTGGGTTACAGTGGTGTCCATGGTGATGTCACTCAGCCCCACACTGGCCATCTTGGCATTGTACACTATCTGGATGAGCACACCCTCCAGGTTCGCCAGTACCTGCAGAATCTCGGCGCGTTGCACCGGCCGGCCGGACTCGTGCACCCAGTGCTCCTGTGGTGGACCGGGAGCACCCCACGTCAGTGCCTTCTCAGTCTGCATCCCCACCAGGCCTCTAAGCCCAGGCACCTCCTACCTCTGAGAGCTGGACCTGGCGCTGGTTCAGAGTTCCCGGTTGGGTGGGCATATGGCCTCGGGAGAGTAGGCGATATCCAGCACCCACAAGGACTACATCGGGCTTCTGCACTGGCTCCAGCGGGCCACGCGCCAGCTCATAGCGTACCTTGTAGCGCAGCGAGCCACCATAGGAGTCCACCTGGCCAACATGGGGTGATCAGGGAAGACAGCAGAGACACACGATGCCCACCTAGTACTCTGCCTGGCACTGAGGGAGCCCAATCCATGGCAGAGAATATATAATGCTGTGCACAGGAGGCCAGGGTGGGACACTTAACTCAGCCCAAAGTACTGGGGTGATCAGAGAGGGCTCTCTGGAGGAGGGATGGGCAGCAGGCAGAGGTTGTGCTGTTGCCTCCAAGGTAGAACACCTTTCCCTAGAGCTGTGACTGCCCTTTGCATGCAGCTCCTGAACACACAGAGCATAATGCCTGTGCAGGTCCGGAGTGCAGAGGTTCATTCCCACTCAGAGTGGCAGCTGACTTCACCTTATTGCCCAAAAACTGCTCAGGCAGAGCCCAGAAAGAATCGTGGACAAGGAAGCGGCGGGACAGGTCAACGAGCTGGAACTCCTGCAGGACTGTGTCGATTTGCAGCTGAGTGGAGGAGAGGGGTGGCATGCCGGGCTGGGTGGGCATCGTCACATTCACACCTGCAGGGACAGAAGGAGGGGTGAGGCTCTCGCCATGTGCCCGCTGGAGCACCAGCCCTGAGCAGCAGGATTCAGAATGGTAGAAGGTTATGGGGAAAGCTCATTTAGAGAAAACCATGGTCTGTATGTCAGTCAGTCAGTCAGTCTGTCTGTCTGACTCTCTCTCTCTCTCTGTTAAGAAGCAGCAGATCTTTCTCTTCCTAGTCATGTTTGTCCTCCTGATTTTTTGAGTATGGTCTGGGGAAAGACAATGCTGTAGGTTGATGGCTGGAAGCCCTGTTAGGGACCACAGGTTAGAGGAGAAGTTAGGGGATTTGTGGCAGCAGGATTTCTCAGAGCCTTTTGTTTGCTAAGAGCTTCCTGGATTGTCAGCCATTAAGATTCAAAATACATGAGAGAATAATTTTGAGAGGTGATTGAGTTTCCTACAGGCTATTTTGTGGTTCCTTGACCAACGAAGTGTAGCTAGGGAGACCCACTGGGTAAAGGCTTTTTCCTGCACAAGGAGCAGAGCCCTTGCTGCTAAACTTCTCTATGATGAAGGGAAAAATCAAGAGAAGTTGCCCAGTGGCAGGTGGCAAATGATGGCCCTGGTATGTGAACCAGTCCTCATGGCATGGGGGTGAGCATCCTCTTAGCTGCCCTTTGTTCTCTTCCCAGAGCCAGAGAAGATGGGAGCCTCTCACTGGCCTCAACATTTGGGAAAAAAAAGAAAGACCTAGACAATCCAAAGACTGAGAAAATTACTGGGACTCAGCACTGCTCTGAGTGGCTTAGGTACACCTATTAATCCTGATCAAAAACCTAGGAGGGAGGTAGTATTGAATCTGCATTTCAGTGAGTAAATAAATATATTTATTATTACTAGTGTGTGTGTGTGTGTGTGTGTGTGTGTGTGTGTGTGTGTGCTGGCACTTGAACTCAAGGCCTTTTCCTTTCCCTTGATTTTTTTCTCTCAAAGCTGGAACTCTTACCAGTTGAGCCACATCTCCACTTCCAGCTTTGTGCTGGTTAATTAGAAATAAGAGTCTCCTAGACTTTCCTCTGGGTTGGTTTCAAACTGTCATCCTCAGATCTCAACCTCCTCAATAGGTAAGGATTATAGATATGAGCTATCAGCGCCCAGCTTAATTACTCTTTTTTTTTTTCCTGCCAGTCCTAAGGCTTGAACTCACAGCCTGTGCACTGTCCCTGAGCTTCTTTTGCTCAAGGCTAGCACTCTACCACTTGAGCCACAGCACCACTTCCAGCTTTTTCTGTTAGTGTGGTACTGAGGAAATTGAACCCAGGGTTTCATCCATACTAAATAAGCACTCTACCACGAAGATACATTCCTAGCCCTTAATTACTCTTTTTGAGACAAGATCTCACTATGGCTACCCTTGAACAAGATCCTCCTGCCTCAGTCTACTAAGTAGCTGGGACTGCAGGTATGAGCCATCATATTGACTCATTCCATTTGAAAGATGGACAAACTGAGACGCAAGACAGTAAGTTGGCAAAAGGCACACAGGCAAGAAGAGACAAAATCAGGTCTGTACTCTTTATGAACCGAAGCAGGAAAGTGCCAAATGTATTTGGCTTCTCCTAAAAATGTTTTCCCTTAGCTGGGTTCTAGTAGCTTGCACCTGTAGTCCTAGCCATTCAGGAGGCTGAGATCTGAGGACTGTGGTTCAAAACTAGTCCGGGGGGGAGGGGGGAGGGTGGCTGGGAAGGTGGCTCAGTGGTAGAGTGCTTGCTTTGCATGCATGAGGCCCTGGGTTTGATTCCTTAGCACCACATAAGCAGAAAAAGCCGGAAGTGGCACTGTGGCTCAAGTGGTAGAGCACTAGTCTTGAGCTGAAGAGCTGAAGGACAGCATCCAGGCCCAGAGTTCAGGCCCCACAACTGGCAAACAAACAAATACCAGTCTGGGCAGGAAAGTCAATGAGTCTCTTACCTGTAATAAACCATGAAGAAGCCAAAAGTGGAGCTATGGCTCAAGTAGTAGACTGCCAATCTAGAGTGAAAAAGCTAAGGGACAGCTCCAAGGCCCTCAGTTCTAGACCCAATACTGGCATAACAAGTTTTCCCCAGAAATGCTTTTCCAATAGAGCTGTTTCTCTGCAACCCTGTCTCCCTCCCCTCCAGTGGTCCCAAACTAGTACATGCTGTCCTCTTATGCCTGTCCTCTCTTTGAGTTCCCTGGAGCCTGGTGCCCACCTCCCCCATCCATAGCATCTGCCCCCTGCCCAGCGCACCCTTGAAGTCCTCGGGCCGATCGAAGCGCAAATGGATCTGGTCCCGGAAGCGGCGGCTGCTCTGGCACATGCTGGTGACTCCGAAGCAGAAGCAGGGCAGGCAGGAGGCACTGTCCTCCAGGTAGAAGTGCCCGTCAGGGCAGGGACCTATGGGCAGCAGGAGCTGTGGTCATCCTCCAGCAGACAGCTATGCTCCTTCCCCAGCCAGTGCCCACCCCCTGCCAGCCCACCTCGCTGCGGGACGAGCTCCAGCACGCCATCAGGAATGCCGAATACCATGCCCCGTGCATTCATAGCCTCGCAGGTGTAGGCTCCCTGGTCTGCCTCTTTCACGTCACGGATAGTCAGTGTGCCGCGGCCACCCTCGCTGGTCATTGTCACCCTGATGGGCCCCAAGGCAGTAGTGGCTCAGGGTCAGGCTCAGCCTGTGCCACCAGCTGAGCTCTTCCACATTCTCACCACCCTCTACCCGGGCCTGGGTCACACCTGGAATTTGAGGGAATGTGGCCCCAGTTGAGTCTCCAGTTGATGATAGGGGTGGGGACACCAATGGCCACACAGGTGAAGGTCACTGTCTGGCCTCGGGAAACCTGGATGGACTCCTGGGGAGGGGTCACCACCTGTGGAGGCACTGGGGAAGACCAAAGCAGGAATGAGAAAGGTCTGAGAGGCAGAGCAGGGCAGGGCAAGAAGGACCCCTTCCCCCAGGCAGGAGAGAGTAGGAGCTGAGATGGGGGAGAAGCCAGTGAGGCCCCGTCCAGAGCTGCTCACATTGGGCCACCCCCCACCTCCCCCCAGCTTACTGCAGCCAAACTCATCACTGCGGTCAGGGCAGTCGCTCTCCTCGTCACATTGGAAGCTGGTTGGGATGCATAGGTTGGTGGAGACACAGCGGAACTGTGTGGGCTCGCACACTTCCTCAGGTTGCTTGGTGGCTGGGGGCAAAGCCAGGTAGAGTGGGCACTGGGACCCTGACTGTAGGACCACCTACGCTTCTCTTCTTGCCACCTCCAACAGTCCACTACCACCTTCACCAGGGTCATTCATCAGGCCCAACCACGGTTGCCACAACATTGTCTGTGCCACCACACCTGGTGTGACACAGTCACCTGTCTGCTGTCAAACACTACCTGTCCCCCAATCACTCCTTCAACCCCCAAAATACAGCTCTACTTGGCATGTGACAGCTATAGGGACAGGGTCAATCTATCTGCTGTAGCTAGGGTGTTGTTTGTCCCCCAAGGGTCTTTGTATTGGGAGCTTGGTCCCACATGGTCATGTGGTGAGACCCTTAAAAAGTGGGCCCAGCCAGGCACAGGTGGCTCACACCTATAATCCTAGCTACTCAGGAGGCTGAGATTTGAGGATTGCCTTTAAAGTCAGCCCCAGCAGGAATGTCTGTGAGACTCTTATCTCCAATTAACTACCAGAAAACTGGAAGTGGCACTGTGGCTCAAGTAGAAGAGGACTTGCCTTGCGCTGAAGAGCTGAGGGACAGCGCCTAGGCCTAGAGTTCAAGACCCATGACCGACAAAATAAATAAATAAAAAATAAACTGGTATTGAATTTGAACTCAGGAGCCTCAAAGTTGCTCAGCTTGCTTACTTGGCTGCTATTCTTCCACTTGAGCCACTGGCTTTTTGGTGGTTATTTTGGACATGGAATCTTGTTGACTTTCCTGCCCAGGCTGGCGCCACTTCTGGTTTTCTGGTGGCTTATTGGAGATAAGAGTCTCACGGACTTTCCTTGCCCGGGCTGGCTTTTGAGCCGTGATCCTCAGATCTCAGCCTCCTCAGTAGCTAGGATTACAGGCGTGAGCCACCAGCGCCTGGCTCAATACCAGTTTAAAAATAAAAACAAGTTTGGGCCTATTAGAAAGTCCCTGGGTCATTGGATATGGACCCATGGAGGGGCTGTGGGTGGAATCCCTGTCTCTGTCAGACTTCCTGTGTCAAGACGAAAGGGCTAGTGGCATGGCTCAAGTGATAGAGAAACTGCCTAGCAAGTGGAGGCCCTGAATTCAAACCTCAGTACTACATACATACACACAAAGAATAAATGAGATTAAGTATCCTCTTCCTCTCCTAGTGCTTCTGCCACTGCCATGTGTCATGAGGTAATGGGGGAGGGGGGAGGGAGGATCCCTTACCTAAACCTGTGAGATGCTGTTTGGACTCTCAGCCTTCCAAACTATAAGCTAGTTTACCCTGGGTATTTTATTAGAGTAACGAAAACGGACTAAAGCACTGCCCCTCACACATGTAGCCAGAATTAGAGAACCCTGTCACAGGCACAGCCAAAGGTGCTGGTGTCTGTAGAAGGCAAACACCTGTATCACTCTCTCTATTGGACGGGCCTAGCAAAGGACTGTAATAGCCCAGCCCCTCCTGTGGGTTCCGTGCTCTGTATTCTATGCTCACTCACCAGGGTGGCACCAGATCAGAGCTCTGGGGCTGGCCTGGCACCAAGCCTGCTCCTGTCAGGCCTCTCTAGCAGTGGGTAACCAACATTTTCCCTCAAGAGACCAAGCCTGAGAGCCAGACATTGACAAAGAAGCCCAGTGGGGGAGTGAAAGCCACACACCCAGAGTTGGTGCTGCAAGGAATTAGATTCAGTATTTGCTGACACAGCTCAGAGATTTCCCTTCTCCCATGGCCAGGCGGCTTCATGTCCATTCTCCCCTGTGTTCTGTCAACAGGGCTTGGCCTTCCTTGTCTCTTCCCCAGCAGAGACCTTTGGGAAGAACTACTCAAAGTCTCTCTTCCTTGGGGCTGATGCCATCAGACAAGTTGAGAGCCATGGGAAGACGATGGAAAGCAAGGAGGAGCTAGACCAGCGAACAGTGGAAATGTCCCACCTATCCAGATACAGGGCCCGTGTCTATAGAGGGATGGCTTTAAAGATTATCCTCAGTCTCAGACTGCCGAGCCCAGGCTTTGCCTCACTGGATAGGATGCTACCTGACGTGATCTGACTCTCCAGATTCCCTCTTTTCATTGGCCATAGTATCCACAATGTCCAAAAAAAAGCATTGAAAAGATGGATAGATGGGTGTGCAATGGACAGATGTATGGCAGGAAAGAAGCATGCTAGTGTATGGGTGGAGAGAGATCTGGACAGATGGGTGGATAGCTAGAGGAAGAGCTGAGTAGATAGATGATGGATGGATAGAAGAAAGGAAGGAAGATATACTGGGTGAATGGGTAGGTGGATGACTGAATGATTATGGACTGAAAAGGGATAAAGGGCCGGGTAATGGATAAATGGATGACTGAATGAATGGGAGGGTGGATGGATCATTTAATGGATGATTAGATGAGACTGAGAGATGGATGAAGAGCTAAGTTGATGAAGAACTAACAACTCAGAACTGGGTATAGAAGAAAACCTTCTAGGCTCATGGTATGGTTTGAATGTGTTTCCCAACATCCATGGGCTGGCAACCTAATTTCCAATGCAACAGTGTTGAGATGTGGGAGCTTTAACAGATGATTAGGTCCAAGGGCTCTGCCTCATCTGTGCATTAATGCTGCTATCAGGGGAGCAGGTTTCTAATAAAAATGATGGTTTCACTCCTTCCTTACTCTGTCTAGCCAATGCAATGCCTTCTATCAAGTTGTGATCTAGCCTGGAGGCCCTCACTAGACACAGCACTTCCACCTTAGATTACTCAGCCTCCAGAACATAAGTCAAATAATTATTTCTCCTAGTGAAATACTAACCAGGCCCAACCCATCCCAATAAACTTCTATTGCTTCTAAAGCACCCAACCTCTGACATTCTGTTAGAGAACAGTCCCTGGAGTAAGGCTTAGACTCATGCACACATTCCATTAACATAGTACCAAGTATATCAAGTCATCTGATCCCCACCTAAGCAAAGGATAGTGCTTAGAAACATGAAAGGCAAAGACAACAGGCCATGGAGCCAGGGAGTATAGCCAACGGCTGCTATGAAGGTAGTTCTGATGCACCTTGGTATCTGTCTCCAAGACCCCCCACATCCAACCAGAGAGTCCAGCATACCTGCCCAAGAAGGGGCAGGAGCAGCAGCCGGGCAGGACAGGGCCACCACTGGGATATAGGGACACTCACGGCAGTCGGCCTCGTCTGTCTGGTCCTTGCAGTCGAAGTCGCCATCACAGCGCCATAGCTTGAGGGCGCAGTGGCCATTTCCACAGGCAAACTCATTGGGCTCACAGGGCTGAGGGGGCCCTGTGGGGACCAGATAAGGTTCATCGTGGCTGGCTCTCCACTGGCCAGAAAGTCAGTCCCCAGCACCCCTAAGTTGTGTGGTGCTCACCGCAGTCCAGCTCATCACTGCCGTCCTTGCAGTCCTCTTGCCCATCACAGAGGTAGTCTTTGGGGATGCAGTGGCCGCTGTGGCACATGGCCTCCTGGGGCCCACAAGGTCTGAGCCCTCTTGAATCAGGGAACAGAGGCTGGGGCCTGGGCACAACTGGTGTTGGCAGTGTAGTTATGGTGTCTGGCCAGACTGGAGGAGGTGACGTCTCCACTCCAGAGGGTGGCAGGGAGGCGAGCTCAGGGACTGAATCCTCTGTGGGCAGGGGCACCAATGTTTAGCAGAGTGATGACTCTCCCCCCTTGTCCCCTGCTCCCCAGCCCTCCTGTACACCCCAGGCTCTGTCAACTCACCGGTCCTGCCTCTATTGTCCCCCTTCTCCACCCCAACCCTCCTCAGAGTCCTCTGCCTGCTCCCAACTCTCAGAGCCCAGACAACTTTGAGACCCAGGCATAGACCACACCCCTGGCACCCACCGCTGCTTGTGCCCCTCACCGCAATCAAGCTCATCAGACATGTCCCTGCAATCAGGCCTCCGGTCGCAGCGATACTCCAGGGCCACACATTCATTGTGACTGTGGCAGGCAAACTCAGCCTCTGTGCAGACCCTGGGCACCTGGGGCACTAAGAGGTTGGTAGGAGTCAGAGGTGGTAGGGACCAGGTAGCTGGAGGTATGGCAGATGGCACAGGCAGTGCATGGCTTATTTTGGGTCACTGTGGCAGACATAGCAAGCACAAGCTGCACTTGGCAGACACACCCACAGCACACACAGAGCAGGGGGCTCGTGACAGTGGCCTCGCTGCCTCTTCCACAGACCTATATACAGGTGACATGCCACATGCATGCAGCCACCATTTCACACACGTGCAGATTTCAGCTGGGCCCAGGGAGGACAAGGAGGAGAAAGAAGGCAGCCTGCAGGCTGTGCCTGGACAACTGGCTTATGTCCTTCTTTTCTCCACCCATTATGTCCTCTGGAAAAGCCACTGGACCTCAACTGGGCTCACTCTCTCACCTGATGTCACTGCGACCCCCACAGAAGCTGGGGGCGTTGGGGGGGTCTGTGCTGGAAAGGAAGGGGTGGTCAGCAACCATGCCTCCTCCGACCTGAGTGGGGAGCCAAGCCTGCCCCAGCTTCCCTAGTCAGGAGACTCATTGAAAATACGACCAGATGGTTGAGCCCCTAACAATCTTTTAGACCTGGGTCTGTGGGCACCAATAAAGGTTGCTGATCTTTGGTTTTTGGTTTTTGTTTTTTATTTTGGCAGTCATGGGGCCTGAACTCTGGGCCTGGGCACTGTCCCTCAGCTCTTCAGCTCCAGGCAAGCGCTCTACTACTTGAGCCATAGTGCCATTTCCAGCTTTTTCTGCGTATGTGGTGCTGAGGAATCGAACCCAGGGCCTCATGCATGCAAGGCAAGCACTCTACCACTGAGCCACCTTCCCAGCCCAAGGTTGCTGATGTTTGGGTGCATTAATAAAGTTTTATGAGGCCATAAGTTCACTATTACTTTCCTGATTAGATTACATTGGAGGGATGGCATTTGTTCTGTTCTGGTTTCCACTGAGTTAGAAGCACAAAAAATGACATGTTGGGGCCTTGACACAGAGAGAGCTGAGATGCAGATGGGGCTGAGCCATGAACTAGAACTGACCTAGAGAAGAAATACTCAGGCAGCCAATATCAGGGATGGAGGGATAAGTGACAAGAAACCTGGGGTGGGCCTGAGCACAAAGGCCAGGCTTCTATTCTAACAGTGGTGTGACTTTGGGCCGGTATGCTGTTCTCTTTTCTTATCGCATCACAGGTCCTAGGCCAGCCAGTCTGGTTTACATTCTGCCTTTCCCATGGTCTGGCCCATGCAAGTATGACAGCCATGCTTCCTTTTGGGGCTTTGGTTCTCTCCTCTTGAAGAAAAGAGGAATACATCTCCTATGTGGCCATCATGGGGCACCTGAATAGGAAGCTGGATGTCAGGTCCCAGCAGAGGGCCTGGCATACACTTAGTGCTCAGGAAACCACTGTTGGTTGTTCCTGAATGCAAGTCTTAGGACCTTGGAATCCCTACACAAAGAAGTGAAGCGGTAGCTGTTGTCAAAGTACTGAGGTCTACATGGAGGGCAGATGTCGGGTCTAATAATGGGTACTTGTCAGCAGGAGCTGTTTGGCTTTACACAAGCCAAGGCTTCATAGTGCTGGGCAGGCAGACACAGGCTCCCTGGTCAGTAAGCTCCCTGGTCCCCATGGTGTGCAAACCCAAGCTAGCACCATCTCATGGTAGAGACACTGAAAAGGGCCCCACTGCAGTCTGACAAACTGGAGGTGACCCGGGCCTTGGGATGAGCTCACCTGTCCCCAGCCGTCGGAACTGGAACCCCTGGGGGGAGGTGACATAGGAGCCAATGGAGCCCCGGGACACAACCGTGTGCAGCACTTCCTGAATTTGAGCTCCATCTGCGTTTCCTTCGGAGCCCACATCCAGCTCCACAAAGACCCAGCCATCCAGCTCCCTAGACAAGGTAGGGACAGGCAGAGAGAAGGGGGAGAAAGCCAGTGTTTTCTCAGCTCTTTTACTAGGCTCCTACCCCAATGCTGAGGCACTGCTCCCAGAGAGCCAAGACCATTTAAGGGCCAGATTATCCTGCCTCCAATTCCCCATTCTCCAGTGATTCATCTCATCCACTTCTCTCCCTGTCCTCTTGGTATCCAAGCTGGTCCCCTCCAGGTGGCCCCAGCCCCTCCCCAGTCCGCAAGGGATATGTCTCACTTGATGAACACCACACTAACAACCTGGTCTCCGGGAATCTTCAAGTACTCCGACTCCAGCTGGGGAGACATAGAACCATCAGCCCCTGATAACTCCCCACACCCCATATCATGCTGGCAGCACTTTGAACCCCCCGCCAGTATACCTTGTCCACCACAGCATCTGACACCTCTCGGAACTCCTTGGAGCCTGCATCCTCTAGCTGAGGACTGTACTCAATGGAGTGAGTGAAATTTACCAGGGCCCGGAAATACACTGTGGAAAAGAGGTTGGAGTGAGGATGGCAGGTAGTGCTTTCAGGCAGATGGACTGATGGGTGGGAATGGAGCAATAGTCTCAGGAGGCTGACATACCTGTGTGCCCTTTACAGGACTCATCACAACACACAGTGGACCTGCTTCCCCAGCCAGTTCCTACTCAGAACCTAGCTCTGCCATTACCTCCTCCAAGAAAACTCCCTGAGTCACCCCAACAGGACCTGAGAGCCCCCTGCTGGGCTCCACAGTGCCTCTGCTTTCCTGGCAGAGACCTTTCCACCCTACTAGATGGCCCAGACCTCTTTGCTTACACCTGGACCACAGAGCAACACAGTGACAATGCTAGCCTTGAGTCAGCCACACTCAGGTACTGTTCACCTCTCTGCATTACTCTTTCCTCCTTGGTAAAATGTGGGCTCAACTGCATTTACTGTACTGAGTTGTGGAGTAAATGACTCTGGACTTCTATGCCTGCTCCCCGTGCATAGATGCCATCCTGGCCTGAGTTGAGTATACAGGGACTGTAGAATGCACATACGCACACATGCACGCACACACATGCATGCACACACACACATACACACATACAACACATACACACACACACACACATATATATACACTTGCACACCCCCAATCATCTCTTGAGCTCCTATATACTCAAAATATCTTTAGACTTTGAGTGTCACAATGTTGGATGGGGAATATGGCCTGCCTAGTAAGTGCCAAGGCTCTGAGTTCAAATTCCAGTCACACACACACAAAACACAAATTCATAATGTTTATGAAATAAAGTATACACGATAGGCAGTTAATGTGAGTTACAAAGGGGTTTAACATGTCAGACTGTATATTGCACAGCCTGGCATAGAGCAGGTGCAACCTGCTGTAGCTGTTCACCCTATGTAGGTAGTGTCGTCTAGTGTCCAACAGCTCAGCCTATGGAGCAGACCTGGGATAGATGGTGACCTGGGACAACTCATCTGCCTGTCTGAGCTTTGGTGTCTTCACCTGTACGTAACCTAGGGATAAGAGTAGTGCCCATGGGCTGGGAATGTGGCTTAGTGGTAGAGTGCTTGCCTAGCATGTACGAAGCCCTGGGTTTAGTTCTTCAGTACTACATACACAGGAAAAGCCAGAAGTGGCACTGTGGCTCAAGTAGTAGAGTGCTAACCTTGAACAAATGCAGCTTAGGGACAGTGCCTAGGCCTTGAGTTCAAGCCCAGGACTGGAAAAAAAAAAAAGAGTAGTGCCCATCCCTGCAGGCTGTGGTAAGAGATCAACAAGTTCATGAAAGTAAAGGCTTACAAAAGTGACCAGTACACAGTGGAGTACAAAGTTGATTGTAATGACTAACTCTGGTCTTTAGGACAAACCCCACTATTTCTTCTTATTATTTCTTCTCATCTAAGAGCAATACTCATTCCCCAAACCAGTCTGTGTGCCAGGTCATGTTCTTGGAGCAGTGAACTCCACAAATGACAATTTGTGTCCCAGTGGAGATCATTTTCTATTGGGGGGAGGGGACAGATAAGGAGGGCTGGGGGAAGGGGCTGCTGGGGTCGGGCAGGTGGTGTTTCCCACAGGGGCCCAGGGAAGGGCTCTCTTTGATGGTGATCTGAAGGAAGGGGTTGAGCCACAGAAAGTATCTGGGAGAAAGCATTCCAGCAGAGGACCAGTAATGCAAAGGCCATGAGACCAAATACCAGGGTGGAGGTGACAGAGCAGGGAGTGCCTTCCATCTTACTGTCAGGCCAGAGCTACACAGGCATCCAGCCTGTGGCTTAGACTAAAAGGGCCCTGAGGGTGCTAAGCTGGGCATAGGAACGAACTCCTACTCTGAGAAAGGGTGCTTGTGAGTGCCTGCTTTGAAACACAGTGACCAGCTTAGGCTGGGCTCTTGGGTGCTTGGGTAGGTGGGGCCCTGTGGGCTGAGTGTGGGGCCGTGGGCTCTGCTACAGAGGCCCCTTGTGAATCAGCACAGAGGCCCATTGAGAACCCCCAACCCCAGCCCCTGGCCTCAGCCCACAGCCCAGCACGGGCAAGGAGGCCAGGCCTCTGCCCAGGAATGTGCCCACTTCCAGAGAGGGGCCAGATCTCTACAAAGCTCCTTTCTAGTAGGGCCTGGGAAGGGCTAGGACCTTCCAACCTGACCCTACTCCCTCTTCCAGACCAAAGGCAGGCCAAAGCAAGCACCCTGGGTCATCAGCCTGACATGTGGCCATGTGCTGGTACCTAGAGGCTTGGGCAGCTGGAAAGGGTGAATCTGCCTAGGGAAGGGGCCTTCTGGGGCCTGCCCTGGCCCTTTTGCTCCTGGCCTCCTTCTCAGCCTATCTGGAGTATTCACTTGAGGCCAGGGGAAGGATAGAAAGGAGGCTTGCAGCTACGCTGCACCTCAGAGGGTGGTGAGAAACACACAGTGGTTCAGCCCTAGTCCTGAGTAGACACTCCACCAAAACCTGATGCCTACTCCTGTTCAGCAGGATTCCGCCAACACACCTTGACCATGTCTCCAGCCCTGGTTGTCCCTTAGTCTCTCAGATAGACCATGAGCAGCCTGTCTGGAGGAGACTATCAGGCTCCCATTCTGGCCCTGACCCTGCCCCTGCCCGGGGGGGTGTGGAGGGAGGGAAACATCAGGGACCTGACCCACTGTGTTTAGATTGACAGCCCAGATACAGCTGGGACAAGGGCTCTCTTGGCCTGACTCAGCAGGAAGAGGTACCTCAACTTCCTTTGTAATTCATGTCACAAGGTCCAGCTGGGAAAAAGAGAGAAAGGATAGCAAAGGACCAGCTGAGAGGAAGTGGTGGGGGACGCCTGAGGGAAGACAGTGCTCTCACCTGGCCCAGGCCTGGCCACTGACTGAGGGGAGATCCCTTGTTTGACTGCCAAACCATTATAATAGTTGCAGCAAGGCAGCCCAGGGATGGCCCTGAGACTACAGTGGGGACAGAGACAGGGAGGGAAGGAGGGGCAGTGATATTGAGTCAGAGGAGTTCAGAGACTGATATACAGAGACAGCAAGAAAGAACAGGGAGAAAGAGGAATGCTAAGAGGCAGAGGGAAAGAGCTGGAGGCAGAATTGAACTAAGAAAAAGGGAGAACAACAGAACCAGGGCAGACGAGGCAGGGACGGAGATAGATAGGGAGTATCAGACCCCATCAGACAGATGTAGAGACAAGAGACAGATCAGCAGAAACAGGAGAGGAGAGGTAGCAGAACCATGGCTGTCTGGCGGGGGTGGGGTGGGGTGGGTGGGAGGGGTGGGGGGGTTGCACCAGAGGGGCTAGGGCAAGGCTAGGCAGAGCAAGAGGAACCACAGCTCTGCTTGAGGGAAAAGGACAGGAAGCCATCTCAGAGGCTTGACTCAGGCAAGGGACACACTGAGACCCTGGGCATTAGGGAGGTGTACCTGCTATACTGGGCTGAGATGGCCCAGCTGGCTGGGCATATCCCAAGGGCACTTGGCTAGCTGTGCCAGATTTGAGACTGGCATATATTCATGGGTCCACCTGACACTTCCACTTCAGGGCTCCATGTGGCTGCCAGGCATCCCTCAGCCCTGCAAAGACCAACATCTGGGAGAGCCTTAGGCAGGGGCCTAGACCAGGTGCTTGCAGGTCATGGTCAGGACCAGGCTGCTACGACACTGACCCAGTCAGAATGCCATTCTATGGCTTTTGGATACTCATGCTAGGCCAGCTGAAGGGAAGCACCTCAGCCCTGGAGAGGTCCAGGCTGCTCTGAACACAGAATGGCTGCCTGGCATTTAGGGTCCTCTGCCCCGTGCCTGGTGCCTATGAAATAGGCAAGTACACAACCACCTCTAACTACAGAGACTTGCCAACCAGTTACGAAACGGCCACCCGGCAGCTATGGGTCCATTCCCAGGTCTCCTTATAGTGCACCCCAGGAGCACTCAAGGCCCTCAGCCCAGGAGAATGAGGGTCTCTGTGGCCAGGAGATCTGCTCTGGGGCTCCCCTGAGAGTCAGGATGGGGACTCGTAGAAAGGCCGTAGCAACTTACCCATCTGAAAGTCCCCGCTACCCAGGTCTCCACTGCCCAGGCCATCTGTAAACAACAGAGACTTATTCAACAACAACAATGACAAAAGAAGTGTTGTGGGTCCTTGGCACATGGTGGGGAAGGGCCATGAAACACAGACTGGTCACCTTTCCCCATGCTTAGGGAGGGCTGGCCAGTATGAGTGGAAGCCTCCACTGGTAGGGTGTGGACTGAGGCCTCAAACTCTAGGGATCTGATGATCCATCGATGGGTGGGATAGAGTGGCCAGGCCAGCCTGGCCTCCAAGCAAAGACAAGGAGGGTGAGGTAGAAGGGTAGTCCAGTTTGTTCTGTATGATACCCTGCCAGGCACAGAGAGAAGCAATGGCCAGCTCAAGATCGTCACAGAGCAGAGCACACCAAGGTCATCAGGACCAGGCCTCAGGACACATAACCCACTTACTGAAACACTGCCTGGTGTGACCTTCATGGGGCCTGCTGTAGGGCCAGTGGGAAGAACCACAGATATCCCTCCCCCTTCACTCCCCACATGGGACCCTTACTCACCGCCCGATGCATCATCAGCCAGCAAGTCTTCATCATCAGAAAGGTACGAATAGCTCCAGCCTGTCCGTCCTGCTGTGATGGTCTCTGTGTCCTCAGGCAGAGACAGGCCATCGTACGCCCTCAGCCCATGGGTCACCTGTGGGAAAGGACAGCCCTCTGAGTCACACTGTCCAGCTCCTGACAAGCCCTAGTTCCCTTCTCCTCAATTCAGGGAGGATCCATAATTCTCCCCCCAGGGGTTAAGTTAGATTTAGTATGCTGAGACAGGCAGACTGGGGTTGAACCACCATTTGTGACTCAGCTTCCCCAAATCCCCCTAGACCTTGAAGGCCTCAGAGCCCAACCGTGCAAATTCCTAACACTGAGAGTAAACCAAAAGCCCATTATACTCACAAACTGATATACTGAATTGAAACTGTTTTGCAAAACTACTTAACGAGCCAGTTACCAGTGGCTCTCATCTGTAATCCTAGCTACTCAGGAAACTGAGCTCTGAGGATGTGGTTTGAAGCCAGTGGGGCAAGAAAGTCCATGAGATTCATATCTCCAATTAAACACCAAAAAGCCCAGGAGTGGAGCTCTGGCTCAAATGGTAGAGTGCCAGTCTTGAGCAAAAAAGCTCAGTGACAATGCCAAGGCCCTGAATTCAAGACACAGGACTGGCACCAAAACAAAAAACAAACAACAACAACAGGGGCTGGGAAGTTGGCTCAGTGGTAGAGCACTTGCCTTGCATGCCTGAGGCCCTGGGTTCAATTCCTCAGCACCACATAAGCAAAAAAAGCCGGAAGTGGCGCTGTGGCTCAAGTGGTAGAGTGCTAGTCTTGAGCTGAAGAGCTGAGGGACAGTGCCCAGGCCCAGAGTTCAGGCCCCACGACCGGACCCAAAAACAACAACAACAACAACAACAAAAACCTAAAGATAATTTCTAAAATTAAAAATAAAAAATTTAAACCCCACCAAACAAAACACCCAATGTCATTTTGCTAAATGACAAGTCCTTTTCCTATGGAGAAAGAAAAGGCCATCCCAGGACATAAGGAGTGACTGGATGGGGACATAAGAGGTAAGGAGTGGGGCTGGGAAGGTGGCTCAGTGGTAGAGCACTTGCCTTGCAGGCATGAGGCCCTGGGTTCGATTCCTCAGCACCACATAAGCAGAAAAAGCCTGCAGTGGCGCTGTGGCTCAAGTGGTAGAGTGCTAGGCTTGAGCTGAAGAGCTGAGGGACAGTGCCCAGGTCCAGAGTTCAGGCCCCATGACCAGCAAAAAAAAAAAAAATGAGGTAAGGAGTGATTTGGGCCACTGAAGATCAGGACACAGGCAGAAATCAAAAACCACTGTCTCCAACTCTTCGTTCCCAGGCTGGAACCCTCCTCTACCCAGCTCTACCTGCTTGCTTGGGTCTGGCCTCCAAGCTTAGACTGGAGAATGAGCTGGCTACAGAAGCTCTGGGCTGAATGGGACAAGACAGAAACAGTGTCTTGGTCTTTACTCTTCTCAACCATTTTCTGGAGTACTGGGTCCTAGGCCCTGCTGGCTCACATTGTGACTGTACATGGAAGGTACAGTCTCATCTCTACTTCCTCAGCTTATGATCAATCAATGAATGACGTGTCTTCAGCTATTGACCCAGCATTTCTTCCTGGTGATGACTAGTTTTGGAGGGGTCCCTCCTCCACACAGTCAAGCATTTCTTCCCCAGGCTCTGAGCTCCTGGGGCAGGAGCTGGGCACCAACTGATCACTTTGTGTTTGTAGGGCTCCTAAGCCTTGGGGAAGACCTGCCCTGCCCACACATGACCATGGCCTATTGCCTGTCCACACAGCCCAAGTGTACTGCCACTTCCTGATCCTTCTCTCCACAGGACATCGGGTCCGTACTCATTCTGAGCAGTGACCAAGGACTTCTGGGCCATGTCTATGGGTTGGCATTAAGAGTGTAGCTAATAAGGCTAATATAAAAATACTGATTCCTAGTTCCCTTCTCAGAGTTCCTGAGTCATCCAGATTGATTAAGATTGTGCATGAGTAGGGGATTCTGATAGTCACAGAGTAAGAACAAGACCAGGGGTTTGGCCTCCTTCCCTGGCTAGGAGTGAAGGGAAATGCTCCTGCTAGCTGGAGGATGGGTTTGGGGCAGACCCTGACACAGGGAGAGTATGAGGCTAGGGCTGGTGCAGGGGCATCAACTTTGGGCAAAAGGAGTTTGAAAGGGATAGGTTTGGGTCCTTCCCGGTAAGGGGAGTCACTGTGCTACTGCTACACACTCCTCCGCCCCATTCAAGCAAAGCTACAGAGGCCAGGAAGGAGACCACCTCCCCCCCCCCAACACACACACAGTGCTGTCTGGAAAGGAAATGCCTGGTGGCAAGCAAAGGCTAGAGCTTTTTCCCAGAAAAGGGGGAGGTGGATGGGGGCTGCTTAGGACTGGACAGGAAATAGCCAAGTGAGACTCAACAGGGAAAAGCTGCCAAGAGCACACATCTGTAGTGCCAGGGGTCTGGACCCCCAGGGACTCCTTGGCTTTAGACCCTTCCAGATGCCAGCCTGTCCTTGTTTGCAAATCTCTCCCCAGGGTGAGAAGATGCAGGGTCAGCTGAGAGGTGCCAGCAAGGACAAGCTAGCTAGAGGCTTCATTTGTAAGAAGCTGACCATCAAAACACCACAGCAGCTGCATTTCACATCTGTGAAAGGAGACAGAGCCAGACAGGGAAAGCTCTCCCGGAAGGAGCAGACGGGAGCTTCAGACCTGACCATAGAAGGGAACTTGGAGGCAGCTCAGGAAAGTTCAGGATGCTCTCTGGGAGTAAGGGGAGCCAGAACTAGCTGAGAATTTAGGAAGAGGCAGTCTATTGTACCATAGATGGGGGAGAGGGAGTCATTGGTTTGGAGCTGCATGCGGGGGAGCTGGGATTTGAACCACTGAGCTGGAATCCTCCCACAAAGCCCCTCAGTTGCTTCCAGGAGAGGAAACTTGCTCCCACACTAGGCCCTCTGCTCAACAGGAAAGGAGGCAGGAAGAAGTAAAGGACAGTACAGGGAAGCTCAGCACTTGCCAGGCTGGTCCCAACCTGATGAGCCTCCCAGGATAATCCCAGGGGCTGCCCACTGTGTGGGCCCATGCAGTGTGGACCTCAGGTGGCAGCGAGAGCAGGCAGCAGTAGCTGCAAGGTCAGAGGCAGAAATAGAACCCAGGCTTCCTGCCCTCCCGTCGCGCCCCGGCAGCAAGGCAGCCGGGCTTCCTCCCAGAGGAACCCAGTGCTCAGGCAGGCCCTGGAGCAGATGGTACTCCAGGAAGAGGGGCTGGAGGGAGACCTGGGTTAGAAAGGAAGGAGCCAAGCAGAGTGAGGGGGATTTTCCAGTGCCTGCAGGTTCCTGGGGGGAGGGGTGGATGACTCAGAGCTGAGCAGTCCGTCCGCTCTAAACATAATCTGTTCTAACACGCTGAGAGCAGATGCTTCAGGCAGTAACACAGCCAGGGAAGCCCCCCCAAATAGCAGGCACCCCTGGAGCTCTGGCACAGGGGGACAGACAGGCAGGGAACCAGACAAGGAGGGACAGACAGGTGGGAGGGACCACTCTAAGATTGAGTGTGAACAAGTGACAAGGAACAGAAGCTAGACTCTCCAAAGCTGGCCGAGGACAGTGCAGCATGGTTGAGACAGACACAGGGCTTGAAAAGTGGAGAAGGGAGAGGCGAGGAGGCATAGGGACCGTATCTAGGTAAGGACAGGATATGGGGTTTGTGGTTTCCAAAGGTGTTTTAAACTCTGAGCCAAGCCCAGTGGTTCAACTCTGTAATCCCAGCTTTTCAGGAGGCAGAGATCAGAAGGACTTGCAGTTGGAAACCAGCCCTAGCAAAAAGCTACCAAGATCCACCTTAACCAATAAGTCAGGCATGGTAATTCATGCCTGTGATCTCAGCTACAGAGGAAGAAGGACATAGGTAATAGGTAGGATTGTGACCCAAGGCTGGCCCCCTTGAACAAAACAGGAGACCCTATCTGGGGGAAAAAAATAGCTAAAGCACAAAAAGATGGGAGCTGTGGTTCGAGTGGTAGAAACCCTGAGTTCAAAACCCTAGTACCACCAAAACCCAAAATAAGATCCAAAGGTTACACATGTAGAGAGGAGTGGGCGTCAAGCTGGTACAGTTCAGAGCCGAGGGAGGAAGTGACAGTAAAAAGCCACATTTCCTGGAAAGAGCTCTCTAAGCCACACCCTGTTTCCCAGTGTACTGCACCACACCTCCAGCCTGATTTGGGCTTTTTATTTTTATTATTTTTAGGATAGAGTCTTGGCCCCTGGCCATGCACCTGGATGATAATCTGCCTATTTTAGGCTTCCTGTCATTGATGGGATCATCAGCATTCACCCACAGTGTCTAGCTTCCTTCTGTTGAGGTGGAGTCTCCTGGACTTTTCTGCCCAGGATGGCCTCAAATTTCACTCCTCCAAATCTCAGTCTCTCGTGTAAAAGCCACTGCAGTAGCTATGCATTGAAAAAGGGTCTTCAAAACTTTTCTGTCTGGGGGCTGGGAAGGTGGCTCAGTGGTAGAGTGCTTGCCTTGTAGGTATGAGGCTCTGGGTTTGATTCCTCAGCACCACATAAGCAGAAAAAGCCAGCAGCGGCACTAGGACTCAAGTGGTAGAGTGCTCACCTTGTGCTGAAGAGCTGAGGGACAGTGCTCAGGCCCAGAGTGCAAGTCCCACAACCAACCAAAATAAAATAAAATAAAAATAAAAAACCTTTTCTGTCTGGGCTGGCTTGAAAATACCAACTAGCTAGGATTCCAGGTGTGGCTTTGTGTCACCTCACTCAACCCAGGGGGAAAGGCCAGTACATAGGGACAGTCTTTTACCTGCAGGAAGAGAAAGCCAGAGAATTCTGCAAACCAGTTGTGTTTTTGTTTAAAATGTTTACAGCAAGCTCATTTGCACCAAGTCTTGACCTGAACTGGCATGAAGGTATGAATAGCTTATTGACAGCCAGGCAAGGAGGGTGAAGAGCTGCCCATTTTCTACAGCAATGCTCATGTTTGATCATGGGGTGTCACCCCAGACGCCCCTGAGGACGTGGCATCAGTGCTCTGTGTCACTTCTCATGCTTGAAAACTGTTGGGTCCGCAGGCTCTGATGGGTTTCTGGGCCCTCCACATCACTGGGGCAGCCAGCCCACGTCCTGTTGCCTCATGACCCAGGCCTGGGGCTGAGCCCCCACCCCCGCAGCTGGGCAGGAAGGTCTGAGCACCACAGGTCCCTAGGGTAGCTGCAGCTGCCCAAGGCAAGGGTCCAGGCATCTGGGGCTGAGTGAGCTCACCTCATCAAAATGCAGGAAATATGAGAGTAGGAGTGGGGTGATGAGCCCCAGCCTGCCCACCTTTCTCTCTGGCCCTGGGGTCCCCACCATCACCATCCCCCCAAACCTCCTGGGAGCCACATGACCCCCACACACACATAGGTAGGTTTCCAGCCTAGGCCCCTGCCCCACCCCCAGGCTGGACAGTGCCCCATCCATGGGCAGCAGACAGCAAACAGGAGGAATCTGTTGGGGCAGCACTTTGCTGTATAAACTGCCAGGGGCGGGTGAGCCCGACACAAAGGCCAAAAGGCCTTTAATCCCCTGGCATTCTGAAAGGGGCGCCGGGCCGGAAAGGAGTTGGTGAAGCCTCCTGTGGCATGCCTGTATGCCCGTGCCGATCGGGAGGGCTGCCAGCTTCTCACACTTGAGCCCCCAAGGTGGCAGGACTTTTGCCAGCCAGGAAGAATGCCTAGCCCCAAAGTAAGGAGAGGAACTGACACTTGAATGCCACTCTGTGCCAGGTGCTGAGCTAAGGTCTTTGGGAGGCTGGGGTTGCTCAAACCCCAGCTCACGAGGCAGTTAGCAGTGGCAGCCTCCTCATCTTATAGGAAAGGAGACTAGAATGGGAGGTCACATGGCCCGCCCAAGGTCACACAGCTAAGGCAATGGGAAGGATTCTGCTGGAAAGCAGGGCTCTGGCTTCATACTTGAGTGTTCTGGCCAAAACAGAGCCCCCGCTTTGGACCTCTGATGCCTCATCTCTCAAAGGGCTAAGAGCTGGGAAGACTGCATTCCAGACAGGAGGTTTAAAGCCTTCGGCAGATGCCCAGGGAGCTGGAAGTTGGGGAAAGAAGTTTCTAGACCTAGCCCTTCTTTGACTCACCCTGTGGCCTTGGACTGGCCCAGAGGCTCCTTTCCCTTGGATCAGACCTTTGCAAGTCCATACTGTCCACACCAGCCATGTCCGTCTAGGTGCTTGTGGACACCAGGAAGGTGGCGACTTTTGTCTGCCTTGATCACTGCTACTCCCCACAGTAGGTGTCCACCAAACAGACCCAGGAATGAACTTGCCTCACCACTCTGGGGCTTGTGCTCACCCACCTGACAGAAGACAGCCAAGTCCACAAGTGAGAACTTGTTCATGATGGAGCAGTCAGGAAGGGCCACCATCATCTCTAGGCCTCAGTTTCCTATCAGCAAATCAATGCCACAGCCTGACCCTGCCTTGCCTGGGTCAGGGGTCATGAACCAGCTCCCTCCCTGAAGACTACTCACAGTCCCACTGCCACGAGAGTACAAGGCTCTGGCAGCCACCTTCCCCAGCTGACCTTTTTGAGAAGCATGGATTGGTGGCCCTGAAATGGTCTCTGCCTTGGAAGCATTGCTAGTGTAGCTGGGATGGGCACCCTAACTGGTATGCTACTGGCCAGGCAGAGGACCAGAGAAAGCCCAGAGTCTCTGAGCCTCAGGTGATTTCTGAGCTAGTGGAGTAAGAAGGGCAGACCCTGGGCTCAGTCATACAGGTCTGCTCCTGGATGGCTAGCAGACTCCACCCTTGTCGCAGCAAAGTCTCCACCCAGTACCTGCGTTACCTAGGCAACTGGCACACCTGGAAGAGGTCACATCTGCATCCGCTGAGGTCACATCTGAATTTGATGTGGCCACACCTTTCTCCGCCCATACCCTAGATAAGGCCTAGCCCAGGCCCAGACTCTCTCTCTGTTCTTCTCTTGCTCTCTCAGCTCTTTTCTCTCTCTTTCCCAGCCACGTGGAGTGCCAACCTTGCCTGGTCCCAGCAGGTCTACTGAATAAACCTACCCCTTACCTGAATACCACATGAGTGCTGGTGTTCTTACTTGGCTACCTCTTTTTAAAAACCTAACATAAATGGTGCTGTGACTCGGATAAAGGGCTTAAAGTCAGGATAGCTGGGATTTCTCTCTTTTTTTCCCCCTCTTTTTTCTTTTTTTGTTTGTTCTTCCCTTTTTGCTCTGAGGAATACCCACATTTCCGATGGCCTTTTGCGAACCCATCTGTCTGCTGCAGAATCAGCGCATCGACACCATTGCTGGCCTTCACATCCACGTCCACACCACTTCTCTACTCTGGTGAGTGAAACTACTCTCTACGGCTCTCTGTCACTCAGTCTCTGTCCAGACGTGGCGCCATGCCAGAGAGCTCCTACAGCCTTTAGCTGAAAGGTCGGTCACCTCTGAAGCCAAGGACGCTTGGCTTTGGGGGCTTGGCCATTTCTCTAGAGGGCTCTGAGGAAAGTCGGGACGCCGCTTCTGCCTGGTTAGCTCTCCTTCACTCACCAGACTGACTCTTTACTCATTTAATGGGGTGCTGCGAATCACGCCTGAGCCGTGAAACCCCTTTGAATGCCTCCTGCGCTCCCTGGAAAGCCAGAGAGCCTGATTTTATGCCATTCTCAGAAGTACACAGTTTTTGCTACTGCAATGGTAAATGGTCCGAAGTTTGTTTAATTTCAGGTTCTCTTTGCTCTCTCTCTGCCATTCATGTCCAACTTTCTGCCCTTTTTTTCTACAACTTTTTGGCTTGTGCCTTGAAGAGTGTGACACAGGCTGGGTCCCAGGGACCCCCCTCTAGGTTCCCTCTCAAAGGCTAGCCAATGTAGGCTTGATCTATTTGTTCAGCGTTTCTTTGCATTTTTTCAGAAATTTGCCATCTTGGCCACGTGGTGGGTTAAGGGTTTGGCCCTATCTGACCCTTAACCTTCCACTAAGTTTACTACTCCATCTATTCTAAGTTGCCTTGCTAACAAGTTGCTCTTTTCACAGGCCCTGGTAACTGAGGCCCAACCATCTGATGTGCTTTGTTAGCAAAGATGCCTAAACGTTGTCAAAATTTTAGGTTTTGAGTTTTGCCTTTTTTGTTTTGTGTTGTGTATTCTACTACTGACTACATGGTTCTAAAATACTGGGCATATCTATGCTAAAATTCTCATCACATCTAATGAGTTTTGTCATTGCAGAATATTTGTTGGTCAGTTCTTGATAAGGAGCAGGTAAGCTCTACTTATTCTACTTGATCTCCTCATTGCTTTAATTGGAAATAATAATAATAAATAAAAATAAATAAAATAAAAATAAAAAAATAAAAATAATAATGGAAATAATAATAATTGGAAATAATGGCTTTTGTGGCAAAGACTTCAGTTCAAAGCCAGCCCGGGCTGAAAAATCCCTAAGACTCCATCTCCCAACTAACCTGCAAAGAACCAGGCTGGAATCATGGCTCAAGACTCTTATCTCTAACCAGCCAAACACTGGAAGTGCTATTGTAACTCAAAGTGGTAGAGCACTAGCCTTGAGCAGAAGTGCTCAGGGACCGTGCCCAGGCCTTGAGTTCAAACCTCCTTGAATACCAACTGGGACAAGTCATCCCAGCAATGAGCACCTAGACTCAGCCAGTCTGGGGAACAAGGGAACATGGAGAGGAGTAAGAGGAGATGATGTCACATCAGTTACTTTGTGCCTGCCCTTTCAAAATTAACCAGAGCTGGGAGGTCAATAGAAGTAAGAAGCCTGCCCATCTAGTGTCCATACCTGTCTACTGTTAACTGAACAGGAATTTATATTCTTGCCTTTGTCACCTGACTTCTCTACCTAGTAGCCAGATGTCAGAAGTAGCTAGGGACATTCTACCAACATTTTCAGCCCAAGTCCTTCCTCTTGCCATTTATTTGCTCTCTAGTATTTTTTTTCCAGCCCCTCAATGCTCATGAGACTTCTGACTTCATCTAAGGATTCAACGCCACCAAGGGACAGCTGCTGCCCACTGCCTTCTCTGGGAGGGGACCAAACCTAACAGTCTCACTTTTTTTTTGTCGGTCATGGGGCCTGAACTCTAGGCTTGGGTGCTGTCCCTCAGCTCTTCAGCTCAAGGCTAGCACTCTACCACTTGAGCCACAGCGCCACTTCCACCTTTTTCTGCTTATGTGGTACTGAGGAATCGAACCCAAGGCCTCATGCATGCAAGGCAAGCACTCTATACTGAGCCACCTTCCCAGCATTTTCTACTAACTGGCTGTCCTCAGTGTCCTCATCTATTAGAAGAGGATTATCAAGTCCGTTAATGGTAGTGTACATCTATAATCCCAGCACTCAGTAGGTTGAGCTTAGCGGATCATGAAGGAGTTCAAGCCCAGCCTGGGCTACATAGCAAGACACTGAACCTGTTCAGTTTTGGTCTGTATTTATGGAGTCCCTACTATGTGCTGGGCCCTAGGGATAAAGGGCAAAGCAGCCAGAGAGAAATCCATGCCCCTAGTGGGCCATAGACCCATGGGATGACCACACAGGGAGAGACAGGTTTGAAGAGGAGGTATAGGGCTGGGAGAGATCGTGGAGCTTCCAGGAGTGAAGCTGACTCATCCTGAGAAGAGGGAGGGGGTGTGTGGTGTGTGCCAGCAGGGCGTGAGCACCCCTTGAGGTGATAGGAGCAGTAGTGGCATGGCTTTTCCTCTAAATGCTGGGCCTCTGCTGGCTGCTGACCTGGTGCAGGGCACAGAGGTCAAGTCTCTCTACCCTTCACCCATCCCTGTGCTCTCCTCCTACCTCCACTGATGCCCCAAGAATGGGCCTCCCCTGACAGCTGCAGGGGTGGCCTGCCAGTTGTAGGGAGCATGCAGGAAGCCACCAGGAAGTGCCCTTGCCACACCCGCAGGCCACGTGTGGCCAAACCAGGCAGGGCAGCACAAACAAGCAGCTTCTGGACTGTGCTACCCAGTCCCTGGAGTAGAACACTATCTGCCAAACCCTACTGGTGCCAACATGGCCTGTGGCGTTCACGTGCCCCCTGGTGTCCACAGCCTGGCAGGGTTCTCAGGTTATCCTGCTGCCACAGCACACTGGCATGTCTAGAGAACTCTGAGGCCTGCCTTCCCACATGGGCAGATTTCACAAACCAAGCCTCCAGTACAATGTCAGGCCTATGGGTGACTGTCGTATAAAAGTTTTTGATGAAATGACACACCTCTAATGATGATGCCCACTTCCTAAACCTATCTGGTTTATCCTTTAGGCTGTTAAGGGCCGTCCAAAGGAGAAGCTAAGTTCTTTTGATGGCCACCCATGTTCTATGTGATCTGTCCACACTCTTGGTCTCTCCCATCCTTCTTTCTCTCTGGCTCCAAGCCACATTGTCTTCTCACCAGTCCATAAACACACCAAGACCTTCTCACCTTAGGGCCTTTGCACATGCTGTGTCCTCTGCCTGAGATACTGTCCCAAAGTCCATCCTTCCAGTAGAGCTCTCTCAGAGCTCTCTCATTCGGTTGCTGGAGTGTGTGTGTACCCATACTGGGGCCTGAACTCACGAGCCTGAGGATTATTCCTTAGATTTTTTTCACTCAAGGCTAACCTTCTACAACTTTAGCTATATATCCACACTCAGTTTTGGGGTAGTTAATTGGAGACTGGAGTTCAAGTCTCAGGGACTTTCCTGCCCAGACTGGCTTAGAACCACCACTTGGGGGGCTGGGAAGGTGGCTCAGTGGTAGGGTGCTTGCCTTGCATGCATGAGGCCCTGGGTTCGATTCCTCAGCACCACATAAGCAGAAAAAACCGGAAGTGGTGCTGTAACTCAAGTGGTAGAGCTCTCCTTGAGTTGAAGAGCTGAGGGTCAGCTCCCAGGCCAAGTTCAAGCCCACGACTGATCAAAAAAAAAGAACCACCACCACTTGGTTATTGCCATTTCCCCATGCCTGGCACACAGTAGAGCCCCAGCAATGTTCATCAAGATTGTAAATGGGTAAATTTACAAGTGTGGAGACTAAGGCCCAGAGAACCAACCTGATCATCATCACAGACCCAGAACTTGAATCCAAGACCAGGCTCTAAACCTGGAAGTAGCCCTATATGGCCTGACCCCTCCTTCTGCCACCTCTTTGGGCACTGATGCCTAGGCCTTCCTGCAGGGATGTGGGCTTCAGGGGCCCTGGGCCAGAGCTCCAGCCCCAAGGCTTTCACAAGACAGCCAGGCCACAAGGCACTGGGGATGCTCCGCTCGCCTCGGCATTGTTGCTCCCCTGGGACAGCCAGTAGGAAAAAATAGGCTGGACCAGCAATCTGATAGCTGTGGCCTATAACCCGAGAGGCCAGCACTTCCCACCCTTGGGTCTTCTCCCACCCTGGAAGTCTTCCTCCTGG